TATCATATCATAGAACATCACACAGGTGAAACATGACTACTGGGATAAGCTGCAGGGGTAAACGTGGGGTCAGGAGAAGGGATGGAGAGGCAAAGCAAGAATGAAAAGAACAAACACTGACGAGGCAGAGGCTGCCAGTGAGAGCGGTGCTTCAGACCATCCATGCATCCAGCGCCCACTAAAGAGGCGACAGGCACAAGAGCTGACAAAGCTGTATGTTTCTACCAGTTTATCATGAAACCCAAGCTTTAAAGGTTTTCATTCTACACTTCTGTGTAGAGATTCTCCATATGGTTTTTAGCTGAGCTATAAAATTGAAATTGCTGTAAGTAGTCCCCAATGACTTTCTAGATGAGGGAAGTTGTCCTTCATAAAATGGATGCTGTAAGGAGGTGCACTATCCTTTTACATCTGAAACAAATTGAAGCACAGATTCATTGGTGAAATTCTGCAGATGACTTCAGTCTACATCTGCTAGGCCAGCTGCTGCATCTGTACACGGTGCTGTTTTGAGATCCACACCTAAGCAAGAGGCAATGGGCACAGGAAGGCTGGCAATGACAGAGCTGAACAACACAGCTGCACCTAAGACAGAAAGGCTTGCACAGCTGATTTTCTAATAATGGCTAAATACAAGCACGAAGGAAGAACAAAGCTAGCAGTTGCCTCTACCTGGTTTTCCTTCCTTTTCTTCCCTTCCTGCATTTCTTCATATAAAATGGAAATTTTGGGCCCGGTGTAGTAGCCTAGTGGCTAAAGTCCTTGCCTTAAATGTAACAAGATCCAATATGGGCACCGGTTCTAATCCTGGCTGCCGCACTTCCCATCCAGCTCCCTGCTTGTGGTCTGGGAAAACAGTCAAGGACAGCCCAGAGTCTTGGCACCCTGCATCCACATGGGAGCCTTGGAAAATGGCCCTGACTCCTGGCTTCGGATTGGCTCAGCTTCAGCTTCACGGCCCCTTGGAGAGCAAACCAGCAGAGGAATCTTTCTCTCAGTCTCTCCTCCTCCATATATCTGGCTTTCCAATACAAATATACATTTTTTTTTAAATGGAAACATGCTCATAAGATTCTTAGGAAGATTAAAGACAACCAATGCATAAAATGCTTAAAACAATGCCATAATATTCATCCATTCATTCAACAAAGTACCCCACATTTTCATCTTATGTGTTATTACATACCAAACAGAATCTGACTACCATGAATGATAGATGTAATTGTGCAAAATCGAAGTTATTTGTTAGCTTGTCACAAAAAGTTGCTTACATATTTCAATTACTTCATATAACTTACCATGATTTGAAAAGCAAGTCAACACTAACAAATATAAGTCTGAGCATGATGGCTTACTTTGATGAGTCAGAATCCTATGGGATTAAAGATTAAAATCTGTCAGGATATCTGCAGCAAGGAAAATGAAGCTATGGCCCTTAAGACCCAGCTTTGTAGGCCCGGCGGCGTGGCCTAGCGGCTGAAGTTCTCACCTTGAATGCACCAGGATCCCATATGGGTGCCGGTTCTAATCCCAGCAGCTCCACTTCCCATCCAGTTCCCTGCTTGTGGCCTGGGAAAGCAGTCGAGGATGGCCCAATGCTTTGGGACCCTGCACCCATGTGGGAGACCTGGAAGAAGTTCCTGGCTTCAGATCAGCACAGCACCAGCCATTGCGCTCACTTGGGGAGTGAGTCATTGGACGGAAGATCTTCCTCTCTGTTTCTCCTCCTCTCTGTATATCTGACTTTCCAATCAAAATAAATAAATCTTTTTAAAAAAGAGAGAGACTCAGCTTTGTAAGCTACACAGAGCCAGACAGACACTAATGGCACAAGAAATGAACAAACTTTCAAAAGATACAGTATGGATGGATTTGGATGATACAGAACTCTAAACGTCTGCCATAGGAATTTAACTGAATTCATTCAGGGGTTAGAGACAAGATTTTGCCTAGGGAAACAGCACCATCTTTGTAGGCAGCTCCTGTTGGAGTCAGCTGCTCTGTGTCTTGTCCAGCTCCCTGTATACAGCCTGAGAAAACAACAGAGGTTGCCCTGAGTCTTTGTGTCTCTCTACTCATATGGGAGTTTCAGAAGAAGCTCCTGGTTCCTGGCTTTTACTAGCCCACCTCTGGCCATTGTGGTAATTTGGGAAGTGAACCATTGTATAAAAGACCCCTCTCTCTTTCTCTCTCTCTCCTTCTCTCTCTGTAACTACATTTCCAATAAAAATAAATAAATAAATAAGTAAATCTTTTTAAAAAAAAATACATGCATAACATGGATGAAAATACTTTGGGAAAATACATATGTTGAAGAAAATCACACTGAAATATTAGGAAGAATTCAACATTCCAAATATGGAGTGGAAAGCCTTAAGAACAGACTCAGTGAGTCAAAAGAAAGAATATACAATCTAGAAGACAGAATTTTGCAAATATCTCAGACCAAATAAAGAAAGAAAAAAATTACAATAACCAAAAATGGTGTTGAAGCTTAATGGGAAACCATCGAATGATCAAATGTGTCTTACAAGTTCCTGAAGACATGGAATGACAGAATGGATTAGAGTACTTAATCAGCAAAATAACAGCAAGAATGCCCATAACTGAAGAAAGATACAGACATCCAAGTACAGCAGGCACCTAGAACTCCCAATAGAAATGACTGGAAAAATCTTCACCACGATGCATCATAGTTAAACTTGCAAAACAACACATAAAGAAGAGTCTATGTCCACAAAGAAATTTCACATTACCTTCAATGGATCGCCACTTAGACTAAGCTGATTTCTCACCAGAAATCCCGCAAGCTAAGAGACGCAGAGTACAGTTCAAGTCCTAAAAGAACGAAGCTGCTAAAGCAGAATAGTGCACACTGCAAAGCTCTCATAAATGAAGGGGAAATAAAGACCTAAAACAGACTTACAAATGATACTTACGAATGTGCTACAGCCAGAAACAGAGAAAGACAGCATCAAGAAAGAATATGCAGATAGACACCTCCAATTAAGACCACAAAGAAAATTCAAACCAAAAATAGGAATATTTATGGGAAAAATATTCAACAAACACACCTACACCAAATGTACATTAATCCAATATTTTTAAACTGATATCTATAGAACATTTCACCCCACAACAGCAGAAAAAACATTGTTTTCAGCAGTGCAGGAAACTTTCTTTAAGATAGAGCACATGCTCGGGCCCGGCGCGGTGGCACAAGTGGTTAAAGTCCTCGCCTTGCACGCCCGGGATCCCATATGGGCGCTGGTTCTAATCCCGGCAGCCCCGCTTCCCTTCCAGCTCCCTGCCTGTGGCCGGGAGGGCAGTCGAAGACGGCCCAAAGCTTTGGGACCCTGCACCCACGTGGGAGACCCAGAAGAGGCTCCTGGCTTCGGATTGGCATAGTATCGGCCCGTTGCACTCACTTGGGGAGTGAATCATCGGACGGAAGATCTTCCTCTCTGTCTCTCCTCTCTGTATATCCGCCTTTCCAATAAAAAAATAATAAAAATAAATCTTTAAAAAAAAAAAAGATAGAGCACATGCTATGCTATAAAACAAGCCTCAACAATTCCAAAAAATGAAATTCTAAATGCATTTTCCTCTGACATTAATGGAATGAAACTGGAAATGAACAACTTAAGAAATTCTAGAAAATATGAAATAACACAGAAGCCGAATAACATGCTCTGAAGGAACAGTGAACATAGAAAAAATCAATAAGGAGCTCAAAAAAATGCTTAGAAAGTCATGAAGATCGTAACACATCCTAACGTACAGGATACAGCAAAAGTACTGCTAAAAGGAAGGGTTATAGCAATTAATGTCTACATCTAAATCAGAAATAATCAAATAAATAATCTGCACAAAAAGTAGGACAGGGGCTGTGGTGGCTAGACGGAGAGGCACCCCACAACATCCGTGAGGGCTAGAGAGTTCAGCAGGTTAGATGGAACTAAGCTTTAATACCCATTGACATGTATGAGAGCCAAATGGGAGTGTGGGACAGACTGGACTAGTCTGCTACACATACTGGCAAACCGGGGTAGGGGGCGGCCTGGTGGGGGTTATTGTGGCTCACTCCAACTAGGCTGCAGCTCCCACTGGTTTATGTGAGGGCTGCGTGTGCTGGGCAGAATCAGGCTGGACTATAACACCCATTGGTTCCAGTGGAAGACAGCGCTAGAAACAGAACTAACCCAGCAATTGCAATCACCAGCTTGTCAGGGCGATAGACTGTGCTGGGTCCTGTACTTGCTAGTACATACAAAAATCTGGTGTGGGATCACCTCAGACAAGGGTTGGGGATCTCCCCAATTGAAATGCCAGACTAAGAACCCTAACCATGAAAAGACAGAAGACGGAACGAGTCAATCAACCACTTCAGCTATATGTTGGCAGTGAAAGACTGGGTAAATGGAGACTCTATGATGGACTGTGTCAATCAGTGGATTCTTCAACGACCTCATCATGCTTGGAGTAGCAAGATTGGCAGCGATTCATTCATAACTGGTGAACTATGAAAACTACTTGAGCAAGACCCTCGGAAGATGCCCCACCTCGGGGACCTGGGGTGGGTGGGAGACTGGGTGAGGCTTCTCCCTTAAAATCTCCTTTACTTCATATACATGAAGGAAACAATATGGAAATACTAGTCTTACCCATTTTCCTGTAGCCCTTGAACCTTTTTACCCTAATTAACTATGTAAAGATTGTCAAAAATATAATTTAAAAAATGGGAAAAAAATAAATGACTTAATGCTTTACTTTAATGATCCTGAAAAATATAATAAATCAAGCACAAAATTGGTAGAAAAAAGAAAACAAAATTAGAAAAGAAAGAAGCAAAACTGAAATAAAAATATAAAATAACAGTGAAATAAAAAGCTTGCTTTTTGAAAAAGTAAACCAAATTGATACACCATGGAATCAAATGCAAAAAAGAAATGATGAAGGAGGAAACCAAAATTACTAAAATCAAAATAATTAAGGAAATTAACCAAATAGAGATCAACAGAACATGCATAAAATCCTTGCACAGGGGCCATTTTAATCTTCTCTGTATTGTTCCAATTTTAGCATATGTGCTGCCAAAGCGAGCACAACGCATAAAATCAATGATCAAAATGCTAGTTCTCTGAGAAAATCAACAAAATAGATACACCCTAGCACAAATGTCAAAAAGGGATGTCAGAATATTTGACTCAATAGAATCACAGATGAAAAAGGAAACATAACAACGTATCTCTCAGACATACATATAATAATCTGGAACAACTAAAAACAACTTTTATACACCAACAAATTGGATGATCTAGAAGAAATGGATAGATTTCTAGACACATTAATTATCAGAATTGAGTCATGAGGTAATTTAAAATCTCAGTAGACCTACAGCCAGGACAGAAATGAAACCAAAATCACCTTAATACCAAAGCCAGATAGAGATAGAGCAGAAAGAGAACTACGGACCAATATCCCTGATAATCAAAGATGCAACAATCCTCCACATAATACTAGGCAACAGAACAAACAAAACATCAGACAAATTATTCACCTGGACTAGGTGGGATTCATCCCTGTGATGCAGGGATAGTTTAACATTCACAAATCAGTAAATATGATACACCACATGAACAAAATGAAAAATAAAAACCATATGATCATCTTAACAGATGCAGAGAAGACATCTGATAAAATGCAACATCATTTCATGATTAAAAAAAAATCCTTAAGCAAGATAAGTGTAGAAGGAACTTTCTAAAAAACAATCAAAGAAATACACAATAATACCAAAGTCTGTTTCATAAAGAATGGGGAAAGACTAGGAGCTTTTTCATTAGTATCTGGAACCATACAAGGATGGCCATTTTGATCATTACTATTCAACACAGTACTGAAAGTCTTCACTAGAGCTAGTAGGCAAGAAAAAGAAATTAAGGAATTCAAATCAGAATAAGGAATTAAAATGATCCTTAAACACAGATCGTAGATGGGAAGGTACAAGAGTGCAAAATTAATGAACAAATCGATGGCCCCAGTATTCACAAACAACTCCATGGCTGAGAAAGAACTTGTAAGATCAGTCCCTATCAAAATAGTGGAGAAAAACTTTAAATACCTTAGAATAAAACTAACCAAAGACATAGAAGACCTCTATGAGGAAAATTGTAAGCACTAATAAAAAGATACATGTCAGTCATGGAAAGATGGAATAACTTATTATGTTCCTGGATAAGCAGAATCAACATAATCAAACTGTCCATATTACCAAAAATAATACACAAATTCATGTGATCCTAATCAAAATCCCAACATTCCTCTCAGAGCTAGAAAAGATGATACAAAAGTTCATCTGGAATTATATGAGACCATGAATAGCCAAAAACTGAAGAATACAAATAAAGCTGGAGGAATCACAATTCCAGAACTCAAGATACACAGCAAGGCAGTGGCCATCAAAACAATCTGGTACTGATACAGAAACAAAGATAAATGGAACAAAACACAAATCCCAGAAGTGACAAGAAAACTGAAAGTAAGCCAGGAAAAAAGGTTGGTCTCTTCAGTAAATGCTGATAAGACAACTGGATAGCAGTTTTTAGAATAAACAAGACTCCTACCTCACCTTACTCAACAACCAGTTCAGAATGGATCAAAGACCTAAATATGTACCCGGAAACCAACAAAACATAGGAAAACATAGGAAGCACATTTTTGATTTGATAGGCAGATTTTAGAGGAGACAAAGGTCTTCCATGCACTGGTTCACTCTCTAAATGGCCACAATGGCCAGAGCTGATCTGGGAGCCAAGAGCTCTTCCAGATCTCCCACATGAGTGCAGGATCCCCAAGCACTGAGCTGGTGTCCATATGGTACGCTCGTGTGACAGGGTGCCGTTAGCTTGCTGAGCCATTGTGCTGGTCCCACTTGCTGAGCCATTGTGCTGGTCCCACAAAAAAATAAGACTGGTAAAGGCCTCCTCACACCAGGCCTAAGTGCCATGTATTAAGTTCATCTTTTTGACAACATATTAGATTAAAAATGGGCCAGCAGCTGAGTGGTACATGTTATACTTCTCCTTTTAGATTTCACAAAGCAATCACTCTTAAATTGTGTTAACTTTGCTTTTCTGTTCCAGCATCCATAGCAGCCAGATGCTGTGATTCTTCTGCATTAATTAAAATTATCACAAATTATATATCCTAAGCCCTGTGGATGGTGTTAACATCAGAGTCCCTTGAATCTGATTGGGTTGGTTTTACAAGCGATTTATCTGTATATTTATGTATGGATGCTTCAGTTGCAAAACACTTTGTAAGTTAATATTTAATAATAAATAATTTGCCTGGAAATTTTCTGTTCTATGCTGCACATGACAGACAGCTGTCAGGCTATTTTCTCACATATACATCTCATCTGTAACAACATAGGCAGATTTACTTATCACTGTTATTCTTCGGAAAAATCATCTTTCCTTACACCAAGCATAATCTCTATAGGTAAACTCTCATTACCTAGATGGGCTGCAATTAGCTCTTAGGAGAGTTATAAGGGCGTGAGTCCGCCTGTATCACAAAGCCATTAGATGAAATTACTTGGAAATAGGGTCCAGCATGATAGCCTGGTGGCTAAAGTCCTCACCATGCATGAGCCAGGATCCCAGACAGGTGTCACTTCATATCTCGCAGCTCTACTTCCCGTACTAGCTCTCTGCCTTCAGCCTGGGAAAGCAGTTAAGGCCGGCCCAAAGATTTGGGAACCTACGCCCGCGTGGGAAATCCAGAAGCTTCTGGCTCCTGGCTTTGGATTGGCACAGCTCTGGCCATTGCGGCCACTTGGAAAGAGAACCACTGGAAGGGAAATCTTCCTGTCTCACCTTCTCTCTGTACATGTACCTTTCCAATAAAAATAAATGTCTTTTAAAAACAACCTGAAAATAAGCGATGAGAACTTTTAATAGATTTAGTCATCACTTTGAGATGTGACCTCAGAAGTAAACACTGGTTATATATATATATTTTTTTTAGATTTATTTTTATTATTTTTTCATTGGAAAGGCGGATATACAGAGAGGAGAGACAGAGAGGAAGACCTTCCGTCCGATGATTCACTCCCCAAGTGAGCACAACGGGCCGATACTATGCCAATCCGAAGCCAGGAGCCTCTTCAGGGTCTCCCACGTGGGTGCAGGTTCCCAAAGCTTTGGGCCATCCTCGACTGCTTTCCCAGGCCACAGGCAGGGAGCTGGAAGGGAAGCGGGGCTGCCGGGATTAGAACCGGCGCCCATATGGGATCCCGGGCGTGCAAGGCGAGGACCTTTAACCACTTGCGCCACCGCGCCGGGCCCTGGTTATATATTTTTTTAAAAAAGCTTTTAAAAGTAACTGTAAAAGAAAAACCTAGGTGGTTCAATTGCGGCAATTACTAGTACATACATAACATAAGTGAAATATCTTGATGTGTACACAATTGGTAGTTCTAAGTATGAGATTTCTAACATTTCACATAAACAAAACAACAACCAAAAAAGATTTTTATTTGAGAGTCAGTGATAGAATGAGATAGGGAAAGATCTTCCACCCTGGTTCATTCTAAAAGGGCTGGGCCAGGCCAAGTCCAAGCATCTGGAGTGTCTTCAAGCTTCCACATGGGCGTAGGGGGCCCAAGCACTGCTGCTTTCTCAGGTGCATCAGAGGGAAATGGACCTGCAGTGAAGCAGCTGGCACTCAGCTGGTGTCCCTGTGGGATCTCAGTGGAGCAGGCAGCAGCTTCATCTGCTATGTCACAGGGCTAGCCCCACAGAACATTAAAGAAAGCATTTATCCTGCAATAAGTTGACAGGTTTTAGAATATTGGTAGTTGCAAAATTCCTAATTAAAATGTGAACATAAAAATTAAAACTTAGGAAAAGCATAAAGCAACTAGTATTCATGAAAAATAGTTAAAGTAAGTTAATCTTGGTACAAAAATTTTGAAATCCATGCACATAAAAGACGCTATGTTCACCAAAAACATTAAAATTGTACATGAATGCCAAAAATCTTTTTGCATCAAAATGGCATTATTTCCCAGGCATTTTGAAGCTCCTTATCATCCCAGGCAGATAAAATACATACGCATTCACGTTTTAACTGAGATCTACACATTAGTAGCCAATCTTGCCTCCTTTCTTAAAGTTACCCCATACAAATACTAGGCATGTAGCAACACCGTACGCCAAGAGACAAAACTATTGGGATTCTGAACCTCTGCGTTACTGACACGTTATGCTGGGGAGGTCTAGTTGACAGGGCCATGGAGTGTGCTGCAACACGCTTAGCAGCATCTTCTGCTGCTTCCCACCACGTGTCAGTGGTCTCCTCTCCACCATCCAATGTCACTAGGAGGCAATATATTTAACCTTGAGGACCACTGTATAAGACAAATGCTTTATCAGCATCTCCAAGTAAAGCCTCATCTTCCAATTATTTGAAATTAACTAAAATGCCAAGATTCTCTTTGGAGACTAGCTACTATACAACTGCCCTTCCATCTACTTCTCCATTAAATGTGGTTTAAAGCATTTGTTAATACAGCTGTTACTGAGAATTACCACTGTAAAATACTTATTAGAAAGAAGATTGGGCCTGGCACGATAGCCTGCACCCAGCGTAATAGCTTAGTGGCTTAATCCTCAACTTGCATGCACCAGGATCCCAGATGGGCACCCAGCTGCTTGTGGCCTGGGAAAGCAGCCAAGGACGGTCCAAAGCCTTGGGATCCTGTGCCCATGTGGGAGACCCAAAAGTTCCTAGCTTTGGATTGCCTCAGCTCTTGACTGTTGCAACCACTTGGAAAGTGAACAAGCAGATGGAGGATCTTTTTCCCCCATCTCTCCTTCTGTCTGTAAATCTGACTTTCCAATAAAAATAACCTTTACCAAAAAAGGGGGAGGGGGAGGAAGATTTCATAGAATCAAACCTATAAGATACAATTGGAGTAAATCTTCCTCAAAGCAGAACCATCACTCTGTAACAGTAGAGAAAACGCTGACGGATCGTTCCACTTTGCTCAGGCTTTTTTTTTTTTTTTTTTTAAATCACTAAGAAAAACTGCAGATTTAAAAGCAACTTACCTTAACTGTACAAGCAGGGGAAATACAAACCATGGTCAAGAGGAGGCGGAGGTAACAGCAGGATCTGGGAGTACAATTTTTATTTCTTGTTAATTATTTGTGTGAGAATCATGCTAAAGATACAATCCCAGGGTTGCTGCAGGATGGACACAAGAAATGAAGATAAAAGTATGAAGATTTTGAACTAAGGTTAAATATCCAGAACTGAGTACTTTCTCCATTTAATTTACATGTGGTAATGTAAGTATTTGAATCTAGAAATGCAAGACTCCATTTCATTTATCATTTTAAAAGAATCTTTTTATTAAACCTATTACAGGATACTTTTAAAAAAATAATTCAAGTACAAAAAAAAATCTGTAAGGACTGTTCAGCAAAAATACAATCAATGAGGTTTTCTTAAATTTGTTTTTCTGAATCTCCTTCCTCTATTGCATATGTATTTTTCAAAACATGAACCAATTCTTTTTGCTCTTTCTGTTCTTTTGATCTTACTACAGTTTATGGCCTATCAGCAAGGATCTGGGACCACTATTCACACAAATCTTATTTCCTTGGCTTTACTTCAGACCGTCCTAAACTTCTTAGTAATTTATGTTGAGGCATTTAAAATGTGCTCTTAGATTACTGTTTGCACCCTAAAACAAATCACATGTTATCTTTCAATTTTCCAGTTTGAGGAACTACAAATGCATTTTGAAGGAATACATACATACATGGTTAATTTGGCAATTTTGTGTGCAGTGAAAATCAATTCAGATTTTAATTAGTGTAGAATTTTGACAATTATAATGGCAAAACTGAACTTTCTACTATTATCTTCACAAAAGCAAATGGGTATCAAGTATGTTTAAGCCGGTGAAAAGGGTATACTACCTATAACACAGCATTGCTGTCTACCCACAGGAGGTTTTCATGACAGTAACACAGGCCCTACATGTTCAGAATAAAAGTGGCATTCACATAATACTATAGTCCATGAAAAGAGTATATTTTTATTGTTTTGTGTTCATACATGTTATTTCAATTTTCAATAAAACTCAGTAAAGTTTATTCCTTAATCATAAAAACTCACTGTACACATTATTTACATGTTGCCAAAGTCTACAGCCATATAAAATATCACAAGGATTTTACTGACTCTATGCATGGTACCATCACACAGAAATAGGGAATTAATTAATATACATTCAGAGATTATAGTCATCCACAGTGATTTTGGCACTGTTCATTAATGTTTTCCTCTCAGAAATGGGCACTCTTGTCTTAGTCACAATATGCCAGAATTTGTTATTCACATTAAAAGCCAGCCTTTAAACTTTCTAAACAGTATTCAATTAATTTTAAGCAATGCAATACAACCAGAATTGGAAAGAAGTTCAAACCCTCCAACCTCCTGCTACACAACAAGCTGCCAAACACAGAATAGGTATAACCTGGTGATTTGTCCATTGTGGGGATTGTCGAGAAGGAACCATTTACGACAACATCCTCCAGTACACAAGAAGATACAACGCTTCTCTTGAAAATCATCAGTTCTTCTGAAGAGTGCAAAGGGAGGCTTGACAATGAAGTCTGTGATGATTCGGCAAGAACTGTAGAATGACCAAGGCCGTTCCAACAGCAGATTGTACTGGCAGCTGTGCCCATAGGAAAAGGTTTTGAAACACCTAGGTTTGAATTCAGAACCCACAGCAAATTGTTTTAGGGTCTTGTTCTAGGGCAACGAGACTCAGAACCAGGGCTATTGATGTACCTGAATGTCTATAATGTTATGAAAGAACATGTTTTAGAAACATGTACTATATCCTATAAACCTTTAGAAACTTGCACTATAACCCAATAATTCATTTGACTAAAAATTTAGTTTTGATAAATATTAAAACCCTTTCACTTCAATTAGCCCCACTAAACTTAATTCATTAAAGTTGCATAAATTCCAGAATGTTTACGAAACATTAATATCTATCATGTTTTACAGAACACATAAACTCAGCCTTAAACTAAACTAATATATATGTATATATATATACCAATACGTGATGGACCACAATCTAGGGGAACAGAAATAAAAACATTTCTGACAAAGTTTAGATATGCTGTAGCTTTACACAAAACTTTTGCAATAAATTAAGAATTTAAAAAAGGTCTTACAGTGTAAAAAAAAAAAGACTATGAAATATAAAGTAACATCACTGGACCAAAATTCAGTTTAATCACTTTTATTTCAAGTGTATTCTTAAAATCATAAATGGGGTTCTGTAATATAAACTTGAAATATGTATTCTTCATAGTTTTAGAATTCAAGCAAATCCAGACCATGCTTCCAAATTCCAGTCTTCTTTGCTACTTTTTTAGATTTCAGAGACCTTGCATTTATACTACTCCATTCAAAATGTACAATTTTGGAAAATCAGTTGCACATGTGCTGACAAGAGAGTTTTCTGAAGAGTAAACCAAATGCAAATAGTGATTTCTCACTGGGAATCAGCAGTGAGGGAGAAATATTAAACACCGATCAAGAAATCATTTATTCATTTCAGAAACAACAGAACCAGTGCTGTTCTCTATTATAAGACAATGTGCAATAGTAAGCTATTTTTGTAGACTTTGGTAATATTTTCTTCCCCATGTAGGTCTCAATGCTATTTAAAGGTCTTTTATGCAAAGTCACCATTGGGATTTACTGAATAAAATTCTGAGTGTTATTCCACAGAGAAATAGGTTACTTTTGAGGAAAAGAGCTGCTTCATAACTTTCCTCAAATGCTTATTTTAAATAAAAAAGCTAATGGAAATACTTTTAAAACTAGCTCTGGGGTGCTAGTTCAAATGCTACCTGTCAACAAAAAAAGGAAATCAAAATTGCTTTCATTTTTAAGAAAATTTTCTATCTTCACTGTAATATTACAACTTATTCAGCTTTTTAGATTGCCTAGTTAAATATTTGAAGGCCTAAAGTTTTGTATTTTTCAGTATATATGTGGAGTTCTGTTTCAAATGATCTTCACAACTCAGACATCGGATAACAGACGCCACAGGACACTCTTAGGTCGCGCTGTCTGATAATGAAGAAAGAAATGAAAATGGACGGATATATGAACGTAGGTATTCCCTCCGCTTTGAAGGTGAGAAAGGTTTTATCATGTCAGCAACAGAGGACTCCATTCCTCTGAAGTACTCTCAAATTTGGAACACTTCTACTTCATAAAATCAACATATCAGTATTAAAATTAAAAAGTTTGGTCACTAGGAAATATTGAGCAAAAATGACACTTTTCTTAACAACCAAGACTATTCTAATCACCCTCACCGTTCCCCACAAAAACAGGGGAGTAGTAGAGGCTGAAGTCCTCACGTCTGGAATTCCAGTTCCTAAAACATCATTGCTATTTGCTCAAAGTTGCAGGTCTTGTATTTCCTTCTCCAATACTTCCCCCATTTATAAGTTTATTTCCATACATACACTCGTGCACGCACGCACACACACACACGCGCACACTCACTCATTCTCAAGTAAGACACTTTTTGTATTTGTTGATAAATTATGAGGGTATGAACTAGGTGCGTATAGGATTTCGTGAATGTTCTGTAAACATCAGAGTCACTTGGGTCCTTTTCTCCAAAGGCCTGAAGTCCTATTACACAATCGGGGACAACTACTTCCCCAGACGTTGTTCGCAGGCTGCATATTGACGAAGAGCAGAGAAAAAGTCCTCATAACTGATGTTTAGGTGGGAAGGCAAAGAGCTGAAAGGTAAGCACACGGGAAGAAAAAAAAAGTAATTAAATGATATACCATAATTTGGTGGGCAGAATCAGGATGACAATAAAATAAAGTAAAAATTACAAGCAGAACATGCCAAATCACTATACTAAAAATTTGTTAAACTGCGAAACAGTTCAAGCAAAAATTAAGCTTCCACTTCTTTCCACAATAAGAAACAAGTTAGATTCACAACCCACTGAAGAATAAGCTTAGAGTAACGTCAGCTGGAAATCTAAGTTTATACAGGAACTCATCTCTTTTTAAATGGAGTTTTCCCCATTTTACTAAATGGTGTAGTCCTTCATAAGGAATCATAACTCTATCAGTCTCTTATTTAAGTGTACTCCAACTGTCATAGACACAACTATCCCCCAGATTCTGATATCCCCAAAAATACATTTTTAGCTTTGATTTCTTATCCAATCATCAATCCTACATCTTTACTTGCCCTAATGAGTGTTTCCATTTAAAGAGATTAGAGTCTCAAAAGCATCTACACCTTCCTATCAAAAAATATTCCCCAGAACTAGTGATCTGAATCAATGGGATAAAGTGCCATTTGCAAAACTAGCATCCCCTACAGGAGATGCTACTTCTAGTCTGACTAATCCTCTTCTGATCCAGCTCCCTGCTGATGAGCCTGAGAAAGCAACAGATGACTGACAAAATACTTGAGCCCCTACCACCCATATCGGGGAGAGGGATGGAACCCCTAGATACTGCCTTTGGACTGGCTAATCAAGCTGTTGAAGGCATACTAGGGGTAAACTAGTAGATGGAGGAGTGTGTGTACCCCTCTCTGTTACTCTGCTTTTCAAATAAATATATCTTTAAAAAGCAGTAGAAGATGGCCCAGGTCCACCAACCCCTGCAACCCATGTGGAGGACCAGGAGAAGCTCCGGCTTCCTGGCTTCCTGGCTCGGGCAGGTGAGCTCTGGCAGCTGCAGCCACTTGGAGAGTAAATCAGCAGATGGAAGATCTCTCTGTCTCTCCTTCTAACTTGACCTTTTAAATAAAAAATAAATCTTTAAAAAAAAATTATCCTCAACTCTTCCTGAGTTTTGCCTCAAGACATATTTTAACTATCTAGTCTTAAAAATTCAGTAACAATTAATGTCTTCACTAGCTTTAATCAAAATTAGTAAAGCTCTCAGGCCAAAAACATATATACTTGGTAAATATTTCTTTAGACAATTAAAATCTACAATTTCCCTTCTAAAATCCAGGGCTTATATATAGTTGAAGCTACTCAGTCTTTCCATTATTATAAATCTGAAATTGGCAAATACATCCCAAATGCCTAGTATACCTTTTTATCAGAACATAGTCAGGCTCACTTGTCTTACATTGTTAAGCTGTATTAGCAAAGTTAAATTGCAAGACACTGAATGGTCTGCAAACACCAAAAGTTTATTATCTGACCCTTTACAAAGCAGTGTGTTCTCTCCTCTGTACTTTCTCCTAAAATTACAGCTATGAGCCTTTCAGTTGTCTTTTCATGACACCCTCCCCGAAACCCAAACCACTGTAGCTTGTAGCTTCTAAACAAATCTTCCAAAATCACTAGTCCCATATTACTCACAGGCTGAACAGGTTCCTACTGCCTCTCTACTGTTATACACATTCCTTGTTGGTATTTAAGAAACTAGGACAAACACACACACAAGACAAATGCTTTCATTTCTTAGTACCGCCTGACACTGACTCTTTTCCCTGGTATGCCTAGTTCCTATCTCTTTGAGACACTCTTGAGGCCTTTCCCTCTCTCCCAACCCCAAGATTTATTTATCTTAAAGGCAGTGGCATGCACAGAGGGAAAGACATCTTCCACCTGCTGGGTCATTGCCTGGAACCTGGAACTTCACCCAGATCTCCAAGTACTTAATCCATCTTCCATTTTTTGCCTGGGATTATAAGCAGGGAGCTGAATGAGAAACAGAGTAGCCAGGACTCAAATGCTCTGACACGGGATTCCAGCTCGGAGGCCAGGGCTTAATGTTCTGTACCATGGCACTGGCCCTACCCCAACTCCTCCCCCCCTTTCTATCTACTATTTTTCTCATCTTTTCTTTAACTACAGAAAATCCTACACATTTTATATATGCTGGATCAAGTCCAATTTTTTTTGTAGAATCAACAGCGCAGACAGCTACAGGGGTAGTAGCTCTTAACTCCTGATCTCTGAAGACACTCAGTCAATACAAAACATCTGGATACAAAACATGTATATACACTCTCTTGGGTCTAACTCATTTATGTAGGCCTTTACCGTATCATAACAATAAGTGACAAAAGGGACCCAGCAGCATGACTTGATTTTTCAGAATTGAATAAAGTACTTACATAATCTCAGTCAATCTGATGTGCCAGGGAAGAAAGCCTAATGTGCTGTCCACAGGACCAAACTTCAACACTAAATCAGGATCAGGGAAACCATTTGAACCTTGGAAATAAAGAAATACATATGAACTTAAAACACTGCAAACAACAAAAATGACCAAGAACTGAATTTTCTTACTAAAATTGGTTCCTTATACCTGTTTTTTTCAGAAGCCCACAAACTTAAACATTAATTTCAAATGTGGAAACTTTTTTTCCTTCTTTTAAGGTTTATTTTTATTAGAAAAGTAAATTTACAGACATAGATAGAGAGATATTCCATCCACTAGTTCACTCTGCAAATGACCACAACAGCTGGAGCCAAGCTGTTCTGAAACCAGGAGCCAGGAGCTTCCTCCAGGACTCCCCTGCAGTATAAGGTTCCACAACTTTGGGACGTCCTCCTCTGCTTTCTCAGGCCATCAGAAGCATGGGAAGTGAGCAGCCAGGAAACAAACAAGTGCTCATACGGGATGCTGGTGCTTGCAGGCAGAGGAATTCTCCAATTGAGCCATTGCGCCAGCTCCCAAATGTGGAAGTCAGTTTTCTGACTACCTGCTAATGAGGAGTAATCTCTCACCCTAAATCCAAGAGTTGTATCCTCTAAATGTCTTCCTTTCAAGACTTGATTCAGATATTCTCTCAGCATCCTAGGGATTACCCTGCTCCAAGAGTACAACTGTTGATTCTACCTATAGACTCAAGTAAACTCAGAGGTGAAAAGGAACTTAAAACATATCTGTATTTTTTCCCCATGTCCCTCATTTTACAGCTAAGGACACAGACTGACTTATAGTTGTACAACACAGACGTTTTCCACGTAGCCTGAGCCAGCTCAGAGAACAAAAATGGACAGGTATACATCCATTCTTTATGTTTTATGAACCCGCTTACCTATGAGATCAGGCTTAAAAATACAACATCCTCAGTTCTGCTACTAATATCATTGTCACATAAACTCGCCAAGCCTGAGTTACTTCATTTCCAGAATAAAGATACTAGACAGGCACACCCAGTGGTGATATCAAAAAATTATTTCCAAAACAATTCCCTTTAAAAGTATATGTTGGTAGAGTGGAAGAACTAAACAAAACAGATACTCTTCAGCTACCTAAAAAAGACCTCTTCAGTAGAACATGACAAGAAGGAACCCCTGACATCAGGGAAGTGCAGACAGTAAAAAGTCCTCTCCCACAGACATGTATCAAACATTACAAAACCAAGCATTCAGTGGCAGTGGATAACGACCAAAGGTAGGTAATTATAACTACTGTATTAAAAACTAAAGAGCAGATAGAATTCCTATTAAAAACACCAAGAATGAAACTAGTGCTGTGGTATAGCATCCTAAGCTGTCACTTGCAACACCAGCATTCCATATTTAAGTGCCAATTAGTCCCAAGTACTAGCTTTCAATCAGCTTCCGCTATATCATCAGCAAAGGCATAGGGAGAGAGCCTCAGTTTTTCGAGCTCTGCCATCCACGTGTGAGACTTAATGGAGTTCCACACTCCTGGCTCCAGCACGATCCAGGACTAGCTATTGTGGACATTTGAGGGGTAAATGTCTGTGTCTCTGACACTCGGCTAAATAAATAAACAAATCTATACATTTAAAAAGAAGAAGAAGAAAAACAAGAATGGCAAGAATCTTCCACCTTCTTAGCTAGGACTGCTTTTGACTCCAACTCCCTTCAATCAGCTGGAGAGAAATTTAGTTCTACCAGGATAGGGATGATCATAAAAAAACCAACAGATTTGTAGCCTGCTGCCAAAAAAATAAGTTTCAATTTAGAACCGGAGACTGTGGTCAGGAAGGAAAATGCAGATGTGAAAATTCATGGTTCATCAGCCAAAAGAAGGGAACTCAACAGAATGAGTAAGGATCTACAACGTGCCAGCATGGAGTCCTACACAGCCCCAGTTAGAACAAGCCAGAAATTTAACAGGAATGTCATGGAAATAGGGTTCAAAGTCTTATACCTCCACAGTAGACTGAGAAACTACAGAAATAAAGGCAAGGGGAAAGAAGACAGGATAGAAAAAAGGCAAACGAAAAGCAAATGTCAAGGACACTTGAGAACCAGGGACAATGTTGAACGTACTTTCCTATACCTGCAGACTGCGTTAAGCCTGACAGACTTAAAGATGCCCAAGCAATGTGCAAATCACTGTTTACCTACTTCCTATGTGGACACAGGAAGACAGAAAGGAAAATAAAATAGACTGATCAGAAACAGTGATATCATCTTTTACATGATCTTATATTTAGAAAATTCTGTCTGCAAAAAAGAGGTAAGAGAACTAGTAAGTGAATTTGTTCAAGGTTTTAGGATACAAAACTCATATTCAAAGACAAAGGCATTTCCAAATTCCATCAATGAAAATATATGAAAGTAAAATTAGAAAATATTTTAATTAGCAACAGCATCAAAGAGAAAACTTCTTGGAATAAATTCTATAAGGAAATAGAAATGCTATATCCTGAAGTTACAGAACATCGTTGTAAAACAACTAGAACCCAGGTAAATACAGAGATTTAGTATGTTCCAGGACCAAAAGATTTAGTATTATGAAGATGGTAATTCTTCCTAAACTGAGATACAAATGTAATTCATATCAAAATCCAAACAGCATGTTCCTGGAAAATGAAAAAGCTGACAATAAAGTTTGCATTAAAAAAAACACATCAGATCCAGAATAGCCCGTGCCTCTCGGTCAAAAAAAAAGAAAAAAAAAAATCAATGAACTTGCATTACCTGCATGAGCTGATCTCAAAACCTAAGAGTATAGTGTAATGATCAAGAAAGACGCCTTGGTTTCAAAAAAATTAACTAGTTAAATAAAATAGGAAGCCCAGAAAGAAACCTACAAACCTATGGGCAACAGACTTGCAACAGGAACCATAAATTCAAGGGCAGAAGACAGTCTTCTCTGCAAACCATGAAGGGAAAACAACTTATATCCTTTACCTCACACTGCCTAGTAGTTAAAACGGATTCTAGACTTAATTCTAACAACTAGTACTAAGAAACCTCTAGTCAAAAATGAAGGAGAACCTAACTGGGTCTTCAGATTAGACAGAGATCTCGTAGAAAGGGCAAGAATCATGATCCATAAAAAACAAACAAAAAAAACCCCTGACACATTTCAGAAAAAAATTAATTATCTTGAAGCAAACAAAAATAAAGCATGGACTGGAAGAAAATATTGCAAATGATGTATCTGACCATTAATAAATGATTTATATCCAGAACAAACAGACTTCTTAAAGCAAATAGCAACACAAACAACTTCCTAAAATATATCAGAAGACACTTCACCAAAGATAGAGATGACAAATGAGCACAAGAAAAATGTTCAACATCATTAGTCATTAGGAAAAAGTGAATTAAAGTCACAATAAAATACTACTACACATCTGCTGAAATGGCTAAAAATTTTAAAAACCAAAACTTACAATACCACGTCTTCACAAAGAGATGAAAAATCTGAAACCCTTTAAGTTGCCAATGGAATGTGAAATGCAGGCACTATTTGAATAACAGTTTGGAGGTTCCTTAAAAAAATTAAACATTCACTCTTGTAGCAACTAGTATCTACCCAATAGGGAAAAGAAATATATCCATATAAAGATTTGTACACAGTTACTGCACAGCAATTTTAATCAAAAACTGGAAATAGGTCAGCACAGTGGCAAACTGGGTTAAGCTGTGGCCTGTGATGCTGGCATCCTATATGAGCATTGGTACAAGTTCTGGCTATTCCACTTTCAACCTTGCCCCTTGCTAATGCACTTGGGAAAGCAGAAGATGGTCCATGTGTGGGAGACCTGGATGGAGTTCCAGGCTGCTGGCTTCAGCCTTGTCCAGTGCTGGTCAATGCATCCATGTGGTAGAGTGCAACAGTAGACAGAACACTCTGTCTCTCCCTCTGTGTAACTTTGTCAGCACAATGGCTCAGTGGCTAAATCCCCATCTGGGATCCCAAATGGGTGCCACTTTTGTGTCACAGCCGATTTATTTCCCATCCAGCTCCTTGTTTATTGCCTGGGAAAGCAGCAGAGCATGGCCCAAAGACTTTGGGAGACCTGGAAAAAGAACCTGGTTCCTGGCCTCAGTTAGGCTCAGTTCCAGCCATTGCAGCCATTTGGGGAGTGAATCAGCAGATGGAAGAGCTTTCTCTCTGTCTCTCCTTCAGTCCATAAATCTGATCTTCCTTCCAATAAATAAATAAACCTTTTAAAAATATATCAACCAACGAATGCATAAACAAAATGTGTTCCTTCCATGAAAACAGACTACTTCTCACCAACAAAAAGTAATGAATGAAGACATTTAGTTTGGATGGACCTCAAAAATATTATTCCAACAAAGCAAGACATAAAAGACTATTATGTAATTCCTTTGATATAACATTTCAGAGAAAGCAAAAGTATATCCAAGAAAACAACCAACCAGTGGTTGCTTGAAGAGAAGGTAGATTTAGCAACCAAAAACAGTACAAAGGAACTCACTGGGAAGATGGTACTTAAAGAGTGTTCACTTTTGCCAAATAAATTAATCTAAGGACTGTGTTTAATTTCATTTACTGTGAATTCACAGCTCCTGAAGCAACACCTGGACACAGCCTTTACAACTTTTCCATGAGCTACCTAGAGGTCACCTTTGGACAACAGGCTATCTTTAAGGAATCTTCATAATTACTGTTTGGGATTTCACGGGTCGGGGAAACAATCAACATCTTAGTTACCTCTAGCAAGAGTGCCGCACAATGTTCTACTACTCAGTGAGCCTGAATCTAGGTAATGTCAAAGCAGAGAACACAGGAGAAAAGGAAGGAATAGTTAGTGAAACCAGGAAATTATTAATATGACCAAGAGTCCAAAATCTGAGTTGGTACATATATTAAAGTGAAAAAAAAAATAAAGAATGAAAGCTATATAAACAATCGACACAGAAAATGCATGATAAATACAATAAATTAAAAGCCCATGCAAATGAAAAAAAAAAAAAAAAACCATCTAAAATCATATGTCTACAGAAGCCATCAATGAGCTTGATTTGCCAGACTGTCTTTCTACAAAAGGTTAAAGGATAATGCTTATGGGCAGAACCATGAAGTTTAAGTTTAAGTTCCTGGAAGAGCTCTAGAGAAAAGAAGTATATTGAAGGCTTTATAAGCAGTTGAAAGAAAAACAGGTAACTACAGCATTATATGACAAATACAGGTGAATATAGTAGACACACAGATGCAATAGAAAAACACTGAAGAGTCATGTATGAGGAATTACATTCTTGGGAACACCTCATAAAAAGTTATTAAGTTCAAATCTATCAGAAACTTCAAACTAAAAAGAAATGGGATGACAGAAAAGCTGACAAATAGAAGAGTTGTTTTTAAGAATATTTCTTACTGCAAAAAAAAAACTCCTTTCTTTTCCCATGAAGTCTTTGCACAGGGCAGTTGACTGCAAATTACATTATCCCAAAACCATTTTCATGTGCAGGCTTTCAGATTTCACAAATATGAAGAGTGAAACAACAACAAAGCCTAATAGTGTAAGGGAATATGAATATCTTCTTTCACACTGTATTCTTATATGACACAATTTAAAACACACACACGCACACATATTTACATATATACACATACACACGACTTACTAAGTAAACTGTCTAACATATCTACATCCAAATCTGTGGATTTCTTTTGCTGCTGGGCTACTAACTGGCAAAAGTCCTGAGCAGCTCTCACGATATCTGCTTTTCCATCTTCTGGAGACAGCACCTTCACTGCTGAATGGCAATTTAAAACTGTAGGAAAAAAAAAAACAAGATTTAAAAAAAATCCTTCTCTTTCACATGTATCTCAAAACCAGTTTTAAGAATATAAGTTACGATCAAAATAAAATTATAATTCTTGCAGTAAACAAGAAAAATTTAAACTCTCCATTTTCAATATCAAATATATTTATTCTTCTTTCAAAGGCCTCATGCATCTAAAATCATATTTATGCATGTATTTCATACTACCTTGTTTTCAAAAGGCTCATCATGATCTTGTTTATGAATAAATCCTAAATACAGAACTTAACTATAAGCCACATGATTTTACTCATCTAAAACTCCATCGCTGTAGAATTTGCAGTAACATACAGAATAAAAGAAAAAAAAATTAAGCATTATAGGAAAAAAGTGTTTCAATAGACTATGTATGCCACTGTCTACAGCACACATACCTTATCTATTTTTGATCCCGTGGGAATCTATGTTACAACAGATGGGACTCCAGAGATGTCATAATAATGCAAAATTCCTATCCACACACATGTAGGATCTTTCCTCTCAGGTAGAAGTTCAATTGAAGTGAAATTCCTTTCATTTCACAGAAAAGCCGCTTTTGCTTCTATTTACACATTCATTCCATTTCCTTAATGTGGAAATGTGACTATTAGGATTCTCTGTTGAATTAGCTGTAAGATCTGTCCAATTACATAAAATATGTGTCACATGCTTACTTTTTAATATCTATGTAAACTATTTTTTTACCCTTTCTTGATAATTATATTTTCAAAGGATAAGGACAAAAAGTCTAAATTCATGACTGAAGATGTTGACACCACGGGTGTTTGGCCAAGTTACCTTTGGGACATCTACAGCCTAGATGGTATGTGTGAGTTTGAGTTCTAACTCTGCTGATTCCTGTTTCCAGCCAACAGCCACTGGGAGCCATCAGGTGACTGCTCAAATAATCAGGACCCTGTCCCCCATGTGGGACACTTGGACTAAGCTTCCGGCCTCTGACTTCAGCCTAGCCTGGCCCTGGCAGTGTGAACATTGGGGAAGGAAGCCAACCAATGTGAGCTCTCTATCTCTGCAGCCACTGCTAAAAAATAAACAAATACAGTAAGATAAAAATGTAAAGGTTGAAAACAAGACTAGCAGAGCAAAATGAGTGAAGAAATGACCAAGTGACAGATGTGCCTCACTTTTAGAGTCAAGCTTACCTTGATCATCTTTGTCATTACTATTTGCAAATTCTGGTGAGTATTTGGAACAATCCAGGCCCAGAAGTTCCTGCTGTTGTTTTAAAATTTCATCCATCAGTCTGGAATTATTTCTTTTGAAAATACCTTAAAAACAAAATTAAATAAGCAAATCAAAATCAAGTTAATTTATCCTCTTCAAAGATCAATGGATGTTGGTTTGTAAAATCAACACTTAGACTCAGAACTGAACAAATCCCAAGCAAAGAAGAATGTAAAAGGAAAACTCGACAACAAAACTTTTAATGCAAGAGTCAAAAGACTAAAATAAATTGGCTAAAACTTAAAAAAAAAGGAAAGGGGTAATAAGTACTTCATGTGATGTGAATCTCAACACAGCATACATTTTAGACTAGAACAACAGTTCAAGAGCTTATTTACTTGAAACTTGTACAAATTTAAAATGAAACCCATGACTATAAATGGCTCTTCCAAGAGCTCATACACCTTAGCAATGTCTAGAAATGACATCTTCCTATCTCTCAGTCTAATGTATTTTTCTCTTTCATCACTATGTACATTAAATACTATTGCCCCAATTTGATTCGTTTTATAATCGAATTGAAGCAAACTATGTAAAATACAGACAAAACCACTATGTAGTAAATTAATGCACAGAATTAAATTACAAATTTTTTAATCCGAACAACACATAGAAAACACTTTAACATCGTGTCCCTGAGAAACACATAGAAACTACATAACAAAAAAGAGCCCTACCACCAAAAAAATGGCATATTCTGACTATTTTCAAAGACACAGCTTTCTGGTAGCCACTGCCTTCTTGATCGTTATCAGCTGTTCCTACTCTGTACTCTCAGTCATGCTTGACTTCAAAGCAGTTCAAAGATTAACTGGGAAGCAGAACAGGATTTGTAAAAACACATAAAAGCCATGCACATACACAAAGTCACATCTTCTTATTCACTAGTTGTAAATTCAGATTCAACTAACTGTAGGTTGAAAATATTGCACAAAGAGGCCATCAAGTGTGTTTCAAATCTTTGCTCCACTCCGAACTCCAGTTTCCTTCTAAACTTGCCCTGGAGGGCAGCACATGATTGTTCTATTACTTTACTCCAGTTCCTGCCACCAAAGTGTGAGATCAAGACTGATTTCCACATTCCTGACTTACCTGGACCAGCCCCAGCTTAGGAAGTCATCTATAAAGTGAACCAGCAGATGGAGGATCTCTGCTTGGCTTTCAAATGAAGCAATATTAAGTTTAAAAACTGAAATTACTAAATAGTGGAAGTAAGAGAGAAGCAAGCGCACAAGTGAGTGAGACTGGCCTAGACTGTTAACTTGACCACATCTCACGCAGGAGCCAGTGGGTTTGAGTGCTCTCTCAGGCCCCAGCTCTCAAATTTTAGTTTCTTGCTAATCACCTGGAATTGGCAGGTGACTGCTAAAGCAGTTGTGTGTCTGCCACAACATGAGAAACCTTGACTGAGTTCCTGGCTCAAGACTTCAGCCTAGCCCTGCCTTTGTCACTGGGTGCATTTCAGGATCATACCAGAGGAAGGAAGTTTAGTCTCTCTGCCTCTTGTATAACTAAAAAAGAAAAGAAAAGAAAGGAAGGAAGACAAACCAAATAACTAAAGCAATCTTAAACAGCAAAAACAAAAGAAGCATCAAAATACCAGATTTTAAGACATCTTACTGGACATTTATGATCAAACCAACTTGGTATTAGCACAAGAATAGAAAAATGGACCAAAGGAACAAACTAGGGCATCCAGAAATTAAGCTACACATCTACAACCAACTTTGGTAAATGGGTTAAAATAACTTTCTGGAGAAAGGGCAATTCCTTTAATAAATGCTACCGGGGAAAATTGGATATCTGCATGCACAAGTCTGAGAAGAGATGCACATCTTATACATTATACACAACTCAAATCACAATAGATCAAATTATAAAAAACATTGGAGAATTTCTGCAAGACACTGGCACAGGCAGATACTTGCTGGATAAGACCCCAGAAGCATAGGCATTAAAACCAAAAATAGAAAAATGGGATTACATCAAGCTACGAAGCTTCTATATGGCAAAGGAAACAACTAGGAGGTAATAAACAGACTAGGAGACAATATTGGGAAATTATGCATCTGAAAAAGTATTAATATTAAAAATCTATAAAGACCTCAAGACACAACACAACAAAACGACAATTCAGGTAAGAAATGGGTACATGAGATGAAGAGGTATTTTTCAAAGGATGGAATACAAATGGCCAACACACACATGAGAAAATGTTCAGGATCATCACCATCAGGGAAACACAAAACCACAATGAGGGTTTTAACTCACTCCAGTCAGAATGGCTATCATTCAAAAATCAAAAATATACATTGACATGGAAAAGAAGCACCTTAATCAACTGTTGGTGGGAATGTTAGCTAGTAAAATTACACAAGACAGTACAAGGAGTCCTCAGAAATCTAGAAACAGATCCATCCCAGCCATCCCACACCTGGGAATTTACCCAAAGAAAATGAAACCAGCGTATGAGTTATCTGTACCCCCATGTTTACTGCAGCTAAATTCACAACATCTATCAATTCAGATGTCTATCAACTGAAGACTGTATAAAGAAAATGTGGTATGCAGATTCAGTGCAATATTACTCAATCATTAAAATAAAAACACCCGAAACCCTGTCTTATGAAACAAAATGGATACTACCAGACACCATTATCACTAATGAAATGTCAGCCCCTTAAAGGCTAACACATTTTCTCTGATATATGTTAATATAAAATATAAAACTGTGTAAGAATGAAACAAACATCTTATGATGTATTATTTACACTCGTCTTCTTACTTGTTAAACACAGTTAGTGGTACATTAAGCCTATGATTTTACATTAAATTGAACTTGTTACTGCAAAAATTTTTTTAAAAAGAAAAGAATGCAGAGGAATTGGGGGATGGAAGGAATTAGTTATACGCTTAGAACTGTATCCATGAAATCTGATCTTTTCATAGGATAAAAATTTAGAAAGAAAAATTTATTTTTCTTTAGATTATTAATCTATTGGTGCCAGCACAGTGACACAGCAGGTTAATCCTCTGCTTATGGCCCCAGCATCCCATAAGGGTGTTTGTTCATGTTCCAGATGCTCCGCTTCTGATCCAGCTCCTTCCTAATGGCCTAAGAGAGCAGCAGAAGATGGCCTAAGTTTTGGGGCCCCTGTATCCATGTGGGAGATTCAGAAAAGCACATGGCCCCAGCTTTAGATCAGCCTAAGCTCTAACCGTAGCAGTCATTTGGAGAGTGAAGCAGCAAATCGAAGATACCTCTCTCTCTTCCATCCTTCTCCTTTAACTCTGACTTTCAAGTCAATAAAAATAAATCTGAGAGAGCGAGAGAAGAACAGAAAAGAACAGAACAGAAAAGAAAGGAAAAGAAAAGAAAAGAAGAAATCGGCACCATTATGTGTAAGGATTTTACAGGGTTTTGTTGACAGTGCCTGGCACAGAGCAAACATTCAACAAATAGTCTGAAAAACAAGAGGCAACATGCTGAGACGTGTGTGCCTAGTGGAAGTCCTCTTGCTTAAGGTGAGAGAGCTGTATAGACAGTAAATGATAAATAAAACTTCCTAAGCTAAAGGAGGATACATGGGAAAAAGCTAAATATTAACATATGACTCCTTATAAAAGCTCAAAATTAAAGGGTCCTAACCTTGGGCCTGACAAAATGGCTCAGTGGCTAAATCCTCACCTTGCAAGTGCTGGGATTCCATATGGGTGCCAGTTTGTGCCCCAGCTGCTCCCACTTCCCATCCAGCTCCTTCCCTGGGGCCTGGAAAAGCAGGGGATAATGGCCCAAAGCCTTAGATCTTGCAACCTGCATGAGAAACCCAGAAGTTCCTGGTCCTGGCTTCAGATCATCTCAGCTCTGGCCACTGTTGCCACCTAGGGACTTAGGGAGTAAACCAATGGACAGAAGTTCTCTGTCTCTCCTTCCCTTTGTAACTCTGCCTTTCTTATAAAAATAAATGAATCTTTAAAAAAATAAAAGAGGACCCTAAGGTTGAAAATCTGTAGCATTATTAGCAGCATTCATACACTAAACCTAAATGTTCCTCTGCAGCAGTGCTTCCTTTTGCCCACTGCCTCCTTCCTGACATGACAAGCACCTTCTATTAGGGCTTCTCTCCCCTCAAAGTAAGTACTACTAGGTTAACTACCAGATTACTCTTGGCCTATCCAGCTTCCTTGTTTTCAGTAGGTCCTAAAAAGCACAGTATACCAAGAACATGGAACAACAATGCCAGCCTATCCTTTCACATTCATGGGGAAGAATCATGTTAATGAAAAAATAAAAACATATTTCTCTATCCTACTTCATCCTCCGCAAATCAGAATCGCCCTGCTTCTCACAATCAAATGGAATGACTCCAATTCTCACCCTTCATGTGACCTTTCCAGGCTTGTAATACTCTAATTCTTTACGGACCAGATGAAATGTCTCCTTCACTTAATGGACCTTCCCAATTTAACAACCAGATGTGCCCAATTCCGCCTCCAAATCACCCTCTACACCCACTTACACACACATTTTGCTCAAACCCCCTAAAAAAAAAAAAAAAACCAGTATGTTCCTTTTTATTACAGCTGATCACCCCCTTCCCACCAACAGTGACATAGTCTTTTGAAGCTGTGTCTTACTCATCTCTTTTCCCTTAAGGCACGTTCTACTCGGCCAACTTCAATGCTTATTTAATAACCTTAATTACAAGTGCAGAATTATCTAACAATAACAAAACCTAAAGGGATGTGTAACTGAATGCAATTTTTTTTTTTTTTTACTTTCCAGGAACCTCTTATAATAAAAGCAGACACTTCCTTATTGTACACAGCCGGCATTCTGTTAAGAAGGAAGACTGTCACACAAAGGTATCAGTACAAAGTCTATTCTGTAAAAATACCTTTCATGAGTAAATGAAGGAGGTGGTAAGTGCTTAGATGAAATAAATTATGAGAGAGAGGTCTTGTCCGTATCACGTAAACTTGACCTCCTTCAGAAAGCTAATTTACTCTTCAATACTCATTTATCCATAGACTTACAAAGTCT